ATATATAATTATACATATTATATATAAATGAATTTTTGTCTGTTTAATAGTCCTTTATGCATTCATAAATAACTGGACCGATTGCTACGAAATTTGGTACAGATATATATTAGRCCTATGGATAGAAGACAGGCTATGTTAATAAGTGATAAGCCCTATCTTGAGAGGGGCTCAAACATATTGAGATTTACGATGGGCATTTTTGTTTATATATAAATGGTTGCTATTAGTGATGGATATTTATTGTTATTATAACACAATATATCCCTGAATTATCTATAACTATGCACTTCATAGTCTGTAAAAAAACTCTACCTCTTAATTATGTCTCCCAAAAAAAGATTGATCAATAGTTGTACGCTTCGAGCACTAAGAAAACGGAAATACAAGCTTCAGAAATAATTGAGCAAAGAGACAATAAATAATAATTAAGCTTGTCACTTTATAAYTTCACCTATCTTCTGCAACTAAGTCTRATATACCTCTGTACCAAATTTTGTCGCAATCGGTCCAGCCATTTAGAAATATATATGGGACAAACAGATCTATATATATATAAATATATATTTATATCTATAAAAATGGATTTCTGTCCGTTTATCCTTTATGTATTCCAATTTCAATTGGTGAACCGATTACAACAAAATTTGGTATAATTATAATATTTATCTAAAGTTATTGGAAAAATGGATGAATTATGCATATTGTACAGCATTCAAATTTAAGAATGAGGCACCATTTATGTGCTGTGTTGGTGGAAAAGTGAAATTGCCAGAATTACATACCATTCTAATTGCTGGACTGATTATGAACAAGTTAATTAGTACAGAGATTTATTAGAACTATTGGTAGATTATAGGCTAATTTAAAAAGTGATAACCCCAAATACTATTCAATTGAATATTTGAATTGTCAGACGTTTCTCGATAAAATGAATAAATTTACAAAAGGATAAACTATTAGCATTATCACAGCCTCACAGGGAACAAATTTAACACACAGACATAAAGAGGTAGGATTTTTAGCAGGCTATAAAGTGCACGGGTTCAGCTAGTATATTATAAAATCAATTGATATTTTGTATCAYTAATTAACCTTAACTATCAAGTCATTACATACATACACACCGTATGACAACAGCATACTTAAATATTTAATATTATTTTCTGATTTAACTTTTTTTCATTTAATTTATTTTTTATGGCATTGAGAAAATTCATAGGCTTTGTCTGAGGGCCCTATAATAGTTTCAAGATTTTCCTTTATAGAAATTTGACTTAAGTCATGCAGAATTCTATGGTAAATATTTGATTTTGTTTTTTGAGCATTTTTACGAAATTTCATAAATTTTAAGAAAATCTTTTTTTTTTAATATATTATATTATATTTTGTATAAGTATAATATGYATTTTTTTTGGTTTAAGCTCTTAGCTATTAATTTTATGTAATAATGACAGTTTATAAGAAAATAAAATGCATATTTTAATATTTGTCTAATATAACACATTTAATGATAAGAAAATGTTTATAATTTACCATTGATTTTCCTAAGGACCTGATTAAATGTCCTGTATTTTTTAGTTTGTTATAAAAAAATAAGAAACAAGAAAAAGAAAAACCCAGAACAAATAATCTGTAGCTCTGCTGTACAGTATGTTACAAGTGCGCTATTGTAATGGATGGTATTAAATTTGAATTCAATAATATAATGTCAGTGATATGAAAAACGGTTCTAAGCAGAGGAGGTTTGCTTGACTAGGATATTTTATAGCTTTATATTATATTAATTATATTGCTTTTATTTCAAAAATGAATTTAGATACCTATAAAATAAATTCAAAATAAATCAAATCATATTCATTATGTACCCGACTGTACAATTAATATACTAATTACTATATTTATGTTATTTTATGAATTGTTTTCCCAAGATTTTTAAGTCAATAAGTTCYAAGCCCTAATTATTACCAATATAAACTAAACAACAGAATAGCATTGYCTCATTTTTTCTCATTTAAAAACTACGTTTCATAAAATCTTAGAAATAATTGCTATTTTATAGCATSTAACCCATGTTGATGTTTATCCTGTATGCATAGTCTAGCATACAGGATTTATCTTTATTTAAATTTCTGTTAAAGAAGATACATTTATTTGAAAATCATATTGGCTTATTGTTTCCAAAACAAAGTTCTAAAAATATCTAGTTACCTGTGCATGTTTAATTTCCCACTCAGCAAGTTCTAATAAGTTTTTATTGAAAGTTGACACTCGTCTTGCTTTAAAATCAATCAATTCTGAAATAATTAAAAAGTTCATTAAATTATTTATTACCAAATATAATATATACAGGGTGTCTCGTAGTATATATATACCCATTGAGGGGGACTCGCTGCCTGAATAATAACCAGTTTTTAACCGTTTTATCCATATACTAAAAAAATTATTAAAAATCATTATGGTTAATGAAAATAAAACATAGAAAGGCCAACGTTTTCAGCAAAATAAACTATAAAATAGGTATCTTTATTATTTTAAAAAATTAAAAAATGTTACCAAAATATGAAATAAAATTCAAAAATAAAATACGTGTAGCCCTTGTCTATGTGAGTCTAATAAAAAAAAAAAAAAAGATTTATAATACGTTTATTATTTCAGGAGATATCGCAATGGGTAAATCCTCACGGACACTGTATATATATATAATTATGTAATCTAAAATGGAAAAACCATATTGAATTTCGTATTACAAAATACAGCATTTACCTTCTTTTCCCTTATCAGACATGACTTCAAATTTTTCACACGATATCTGTTGAGTTGCCTCTGCCTAAAAATATATTAGTTTTTGAGATGTTATTCATACAACAATAATTAATAATTAAACTATGTAACACATATAATATTCTGCTGACAATTTTCTAATTGAGTCTACTAAAGAAAAAGAAATACAAAATACAAATTTTAAATATTTCAACTATAAAACTGTAAAAATGATAGTAAAAAATAAAGCTATAATAGATTATAACATAAAATCAACTTTGTAATTTAGCATTCAATAATCACATTACAATGGAATTCATTTATAACAAAGCTAATTATAAGTTAAAAACATATATAAATACCCATTTTCATTAAACTAAATATTTAGTTTGATTAGAAATACTATTATTCCTAACGATATAATATATTGATGTAGTCCAGAYTAATATTTTCTGAAAATCAACAATTACTCTCCTTATATTCTCTTAAGAATTAGGAAAATAATTAATGATTATGTATGCTTATGTATAAATTTTAAAATTTCTTTTATCAATAGTCCTTAAATAATTATTTATGTGAAGTATATACACATGCATGATGGAATAATTTCCTTTAAGTGTTAGCTAAAATAATATTTTTTTGTATTTATTGGTTATATCCATTGTTTCAAAAGGTATTGAGAATAAAGTATCAAAATCAGGCAATCGCAAAATTAAATACTCGGATATTTGATAAATAAATATGTTGTTTAGTGAACAAGTTTAGAAAAAATAATAACAACACAGCAACTTAATAGTCTATCAATATGTGTGTGTGTTTTTTTTAATCAAAATCACATTTAAAAAAATGATAATTAACAAATGTTTAACATTTTTTTAGGTTCCATATTATTAAAATTAAAATAGTGGTTGTGTCTCACAATTTATTCAGTGCTCAAAAATATGGTGAATAAATTTATATTCCATAACCCAAAAAGTATTCTTAAATATGCAAAAAAAAAAGTTTTCTTATGAATTCTGTTTTAACTATCCAAATGTTTAATTACTAATATAAGACTGCATATACCTAATAACAAGGTGTAAAAACACATAAATCCAGACTACTAATCATTTTACATAAATGATAGATTAACATTTAAAAAAAATAATATAGACATGTACTAGTCATTAACATGCAAACTACTCTTTTATCAATAATTACGACATTTGCAAAAGTAATATTTTTTAAGAATACATTGATCAAATAAAATTTAAAATTTGAAGTATGTTTGTATATTAATTATACATTTCTAAAAATATAACTAACAAAACAATTGGCAAATCTTAACATGTTGCTATATGATCATGTTATGCCATTATACAACATACTAATGGATACTTACATCATAAACTTCTTGAGCCTCGTTAAACAAGTTAACGAAATAAAAATTATAAAATATATTATATTTATTTGTATCTATATAAAGTAAAAAATTACTTACTGCATGAACATCTTTATTTTTTGCTCTAGCTTTTTCTAAATTTCGATTAGCTGTTTCGTAGTTGGCCAAACAACGCAATCGCCTATATAATAATCGTTTTGCAGCAAATGAATCACCTACATAGTAACGCAATGTATCTGAAAGTTTAAGGTCTTCATCTGATGCAACTCTCCCTTCGACTTTCTACATATACATAAAAATTACGAAAATAAATTAGTAATAACTAATAAGYAGTTATTAAAAAATAACAAAATAAAATAGACTTAATCCAAATATATAAAAATTAAATACATATATTGTATTATACAAAATGCAATACTCACTCTAAGCTTTTCCAATGTTTCAGAAAATCGGTTTAAAAACCAATCAAGTTCTCTATGATCAAAAGTAGATAATTGGACTAAACATGATGAAATCTTGATATAACAATCTGCAACATCTGTTCAATATTTAATTAAAATATTTATGTGTCTTTAATAAGGATTTCTTTTTATACCATTGATTAGGCTAAGATTATACCAAGGGCCAAAAAAAAAAAATGCTAATTTAAGGGTAAATATTTTATTTATTTTTTAGAATAATATGTATGTTATTAATTAATTCTCTATTTAATAAACAATATTATAACATATTATTCAATCTATAGTACTTTACAGTCAAACTGTACAGAAATATAATATTTATTAAGAACATGTGTTAGTCCCGCAACTTTCTCAACCATATGTTCACCTTAGTATGCCATTCGCAATATTTTATTTGTAGTGCATGTTAAGAGATGGTCAGTATCTGGACGGGTTCCAATACATAATTAATTGTTCATTGCATAGTCATGCTCTGAACTTATAACATTTACTTAATATTAAACTTTACAGTGTAGTACAATTATGTATGGGTACATAAAACAAATAATTTAAGAGTACATCATATCCACATGTGTATATCCGTATAACTAAACCATAACACACTACAATTTATATTCAGAAATTTAAATTTTATGTTGCTAGCTTAAATATTGGAATAAATAGAACTTTTATTAACAGGGCATAAACACTCACGCCCACATGTGTTGTCACCATATTATAAATTCATAACATGGCAAATTGTACATTCTATTCGAGTTTAATATTGGAGCAAAATGACTTATTCATAAATTCAGAAGTAAAATTATTATTTATTGAATCTCATGGTTTTTTTTTCAATTTTAAATCAAATTATGTGTATTTTAAAATACTAAAAGTTTTGTTAAAGCGTACAATTTGGTATGTTATGTATGGGAGCGCGTATAATTAGTGAAAATATATCAGCCGAACCGAATTTTAGCCGAAAAATAATTGGTTGGACAAGTAAATTAGCAGAACCCTATTTAAGCCGACAAATATCACAGCCGACAGTATTTCAGCCGAAACTTATTAAAGCCGAATTTAAACCGATAAGCGTTATCATAATCAATTTTTTWAAATTAATTACATAGTGATACTGCGAAAGACAATATATATTATTTTACATACATTATACCCTAGAACAAATTATACATAATATATTAATTAGTAGGTATATAATAATATTTTATTGTAGGTATAATATAATTAGATATAAATAATGTATAAGTAATAAGTAATTTTATTAATAAGTAATGTTCAACACTTCAACAACCTTTTTGAAAATAAAAACGCTGCACTCGCGTTATTAATAATACTTGATGGAAGTRGAAGTACTAACAATTATAATGACTACACAGAAAACTGACATTTTTTTATCAACTATCAAGAACAAATTAAGGAATACTTATAAGTTATAATACAAATTACAAAGCAAAAAAAGGTTTATTTTATAGGTATATAATTGTTGCTAAAACTAGACAGCTCTAAAAGCTTAAGAGTTAAGACTAACAATGCTCTAGAGTTTAGAGTGTGTATGGTCCTCTAGGCTTGCTTTTATTTAAACTATAAGTTGTATAAGTATAGTAATATGCTATATCAATCTCTGTCAATAATATGTAGGTACTGAGGCAGGGATATATATCTAACCATTAGAACATCATGCCTCACCTTTGCAAAAATATATTATTTTCAATTTTTAATCAATAATATCTTTCCTTGTATTTTATTTGAATGTACCTATCTATAGTTTTTCTTATTCGTTTATTTTAGAATAATCAATATTGTTTTACTCTTTATCTCTATCACAAGCTTGCTTCAAAGAGCTTTTATACTCATAAACAATGTATAAATAATTTTTATTGATAATTAATTTAAAATAAGTAACAAAGAGTAAGGTAAGAAACAGCAATTTAATTTTTGTTTTTTGTTAACTTGAGCATTTATATATATGCAAATGGATGCCCTTAACACCTTTTAATTTTAAATGTAACTGCCGTGCCAGTTGAATAAAATATGCCACCCAAAATTATTATTTTCAATAATAATAAAGAATAAAAAGGTTAAATATTTATAATTAGTGCAAAGCTATACTGTTAGTATTCTTGTCTGTAACTTTTATGCCCAACTGCAAATTGCAAATCATATATATTGTATAATGTATATATACCTAAATAGTATAAATTATATGCCCATGTTGCATGTTCCTTCCTAATGTTTTAAATAATTGTTTAATATGCTATCAACACAAAAAAAAAATACTTAACTAGTAACAATCACTAATAAATAGATTTTAATCACTTGGGAGATTTTAATTTTTCTTTGCTCTCAAATTTAACATCCAGTGTACTCACCAACCCTTAAATGTTTCACCAAACATGATTCAAAGTTATAACAGAAAATTATATGCAATTTACATAAAAATAAGTGTGGGTACCTACTCAAAGAATGACATAAAACCATGGAAATAAATACCACAAAATATAATAAATAAGTACTTCTGTTAACCTGTTTATAAATTTATAAAAAACCTTAAATCACATATTTTGAATGTCAGAGTAAACTTATTATATAATACTACAATAAAGGTACAAAAGTAGGCAGGGTGTTACTAATTGTGATGAGTTTTACATATTGCATAGGTAACATAAATGTAATTTTGAATATTTAACATACCTATTATATACCTATATAACTACTTACTTACATATGTATTGCATATTAGATTATGAATGATTAATTAATACCAAAATCTATAAAAAGGTATTAAATTACTACTATACGTATACTAGTACTAGGTACCTATCTGTTCGATACCTGCTATTAATGATGTTAATATATTGTTCACAATTTTAATTTTAATATYAACAGTTACACAAMTTAMCATGYAGGTATTTAATTAGAAATAATGTAACATGCATTGCATTATATCAGAAAATATAATATTATAAACATAATACAAATCCATCTTATTTAATTATTGTTTTTAACAATCTATAATATCATAGAAATTGAGTACCTACTAGCTTACCTTTTTAAGAATCAGTTAAAGGGAGTTGCATTTTAACAAGCATCATAGACAGATAAGTCCCCCTGCATCCCATCATTTTATCACCAGCAGATTTAGAACCGGAACAAAATGTTGCACAAAATTGCATATTGAGGTTTTTGTCAATACATTAGTGTGACACGGTACGCAGCAGCAGCCAGTACAAAGTACAGACACCGCCGCGTACCGTGTCAAGTGTATAATTTATTTATTAGTTATTTTTACATTTTATTTTAATAATATTGCCATATGATTATATAAAATAATAAAATATTGTTTTAATTGTAATACGACTAATACCTACTGTAGATATTATTTAATATTTTGTATTTATGTACATAGACAAGGAATTTTGTTTGGTAGCAGGGCCGTATTTAGGGGGGAGCTACAGGGTACTGTTGCCCCGGGCGTCTGAGTAGGAGAAGGCGGCTAATTTTTTTATAATTTAAATTTGTATTTTGAATAATGATTAATGAGGCGTATTTTTTTTGTTGCCCCTTGGTGTCAAATTCCTAAATACGGCCCTGTTTGGTAGATTGTACATAGATTATTTTATACTTCTTACCTATTATTTTTATCCTTATAATTAGGTTATTAGGTACAAAACGCCGTACAATAATATTACAAAATTGCTTATTCATCAGTTTTGTTTTATATCATATATAAACTATATTATTAATTTTTATTGTTATTTGTTTCATATCAATATTCAATTACATAACATACAAAAAATAAAAATTTAATGAAATATTTTATTTTAGGATGCTAATATAGGCAATACGACTCCACAATCAACAATTGATTAAAATCAATGTTACAAACTGTCAAATTCTAGTTGTCGGCTAATATACTATCGGCTGTAATATTTTCTGTTGAAATATTTGTCGGCTAAAATACTGTCGGCTTTAATATTTTCGGCTAAAATATAGCCCCTCGTTATGGATTAGTAAGACTGAGAAAACACTTGCGGGTATGATGTCCTCTTAAGAAATGTTGATTTCACATTAAAAATAATAACAAGCACAATAACATCCTACATTGTAGATTACGTATTATATTTTTGTATTAGTTATAAATCTAGGCCACAAAATTGCTTTAAATGCCTAGGATTGCTGACCCTTGATATAAATTAATGTTGAATTTTTATTAAAAAGTAGTACATAAATGCATAATATACTAACCTTTATGCTTGTTTACCATTTTATCTGATTTCATAGTAGCATCTTTTAAATGGCCATAATAATCTATAAGGAAATTTTTTTCTTGCTCAAAGAAATCATTGACATCTCTCACAGTTGCAGAAAGTAGATATTCATCTGTCGTTTTCGATAGAGATTTCATAATTTCCTTAAAACAAATCATATA